AGACGAGGCTACGCAACGCGTGATTACATCAGACGAGGCTACGCAATGCGTGATTACGTCAGACGAGGCTACGCAACGCGTGATTACATCAGACGAGGCTACGCAACGCGTGATTACGTCATACGAGGTTGCGCAATGCGTGATTATGTCATACGAGGCTACGCAATGCGTGATTACATCAGACGAGGCTACGGAACGTGTGATTACATCAGACGAGGCTACGCAACGCGTGACGTCAGACGAGGCTACGCAATGCGTGATTACGTCAGACGAGGCTACGGAACGTGTGATTACATCAGACGAGGCTACGCAACGCGTGACGTCAGACGAGGCTACGCAATGCGTGATTACGTCAGACGAGGCTACGCAACGCGTGATTACATCAGACGAGGCTACGCAACGCGTGATTACGTCAGACGAGGCTACGGAACGTGTGATTACATCAGACGAGGCTACGCAACGCGTGACGTCAGACGAGGCTACGCAATGCGTGATTACGTCAGACGAGGCTACGCAACGCGTGATTACATCAGACGAGGCTACGCAACGCGTGATTACGTCAGACGAGCCTACGCAACGCATGATTACGTCAGACGTGGCTACGCAACGCGTGATTACGTCAGACGAGGCTACGCAACGCGTGACGTCAGACGAGGTTTTGTGTTTCTGAGGATTTTTGTAAAGATCTTAAGTTAAAACGTTAAAAGATGAAACTGGATCCTGCCCAAGCCCAAGGTTCTGACTCAGCATCGGCTAAACAAGGACGATGTCTGGGTTCAGGTCAAGGAACCAACAGGGTGAACGCTGAGTCATGGTGCTGAGTCATCATTATCTGAGCACGCAGGTGTAAAGTGCTCATGGACAGAAATCAGCTGATCTGATGAAGCTCTAAAATAAAATAACAAAAACCTGAACGGGTCCTCCTGAACCTTCAGATCAGGTCTTTGGTTCAGATTTTTGGATCAGGTCTTTGGATCAGGACTTTGGTCAGGTCTTTGGTTCAGGTCTTTGGATCAGGTCTTTGGATCAGGTCTTTGGATCAGGTCTTTGGATCAGGTCTTTGGATCAGGTCTGTTGTTGAGGTCTTTGGATCAGGTCTTTGGTTCAGGTCTTTGGATTAGGTCTTTGGTTCAGGCCTTTGGTTCAGGTCTTTGGTTCAGGTCTTTGGATCAGGTCTTTGGTTCAGGTCTTTGGTTCAGGTCTTTGGTTCAGGTCTTTGGTTCAGGTCTTTGGATCAGGTCTTTGGATCAGGTCTTTTGTTGAGGTCTTTGGTTCAGGTCTTTGGTTCAGGTCTTTGGATCAGGTCTTTTGTTGAGGTCGTTGGTTCAGGTCTTTGGATCAGGTCTTTAGATCAGGTCTTTTGTTGAGGTCTTTGGATCAGGTCTTTTGTTGAGGTCTTTGGATCAGGTCTTTGGTTCAGGTCTTTGGATCAGGTATTTGGTTCAGGTCTTTGGATCAGGTCTTTGGTACAGGTCTTTGGTTCAGGTCTTTGGTACAGGTCTTTGGTTCAGGTCTTTGGATCAGGTCTTTGGATCAGGTCTTTGGATCAGCTGCATGTGGCTCCTATAATCACTGGATTACATCAGAACCGGACTCAGACGTGGTGCTGGTTGGACCGGGTCCAGACCTGCAGCAGCAGCTGTCCACAGCTCAGATTCTGATTCTTTTATTTGATTCAATCAAAAACACTTTGATTCATGAATGTTTGAGTCGTGTTCACCTGTTGTCACACTCAGGTGCTGATGATTGACAGGTCTGTCCCAGGTGAGGACAGGTGAGGACAGGTCTGTCCCAGGTGAGGACAGGTGAGGACAGGTGAGGACAGGTCTGTCCCAGGTGAGGACAGGTGAGGACA